ACCAAAAAAGTCATGCTTGGTTTACGGATGGCTCTGCACGATATGCAGGTGCCACTCGTAAGTGGACAGCAGCAGCACTACAGCCTCTTTCTGGGATCTCCCTAAAGGACAGTGGTGAAGGGAAACCTTTCGAATGAGAAGAACTTTGAGCAGTGCACCTGGCTGTTCAGTTTGCATATAAGGAAAAATGGCCAGATATGAGAGTGTTGGTGACCTGGCTGACAGTTGGTGACCTGCCTTGCTGTTTGCTGCCTGTGCTGGGATAGCCTAGCTCTCTCTACAGAGGACTACCTGGTGGCCCTCAAGAATTGAAGTGCCAGTGTCTCACAACTCTCTCACGGGAGTTAGCTGCACTGAGCCATTTGTACTGCCTTATAATTTAACTGTTCATTTCTTGCATTATCTATCTATCTATCTATCTATCTATCTATCTATCTATCTATCTATCTATATATATATCTATAACAGTTTATTTCCTTGTTATATATCTATCTATCTTTATAAATATTTATATAAAATTATCAGCAATCTGGTTTTAGCTCTCTGGAGAACCCTGTCTAACACAGTACGTATATGGCATATATATGTTCTGCTATTCTGGGTAGGCTAGAGAAACAAATACAGAGAAACTCATATGTGTATAAGAAAGAGGTTTATATACAAGAGCAGTTGGATATTGAGAAAAAAATATCAGCGCAGTTCAGATCAAGTACATAAGTTCAATATTATTAGCCCATATATATGATACCAATCTATAAAGTTTTCTTCAGACTCACAAAACACATGCAATGATGCTGAATGCAGGATGATCAAAGACCAGTGTGTGGGAAGTCTTATAGATCCAGTGGCTTTGTCTGAATGTCAGCGCTGGCAGAGGTCTCCATGTGCCTTCTCCAGTTTCAGGATCCTGGCTGCATCAGGGGAGGTCCAGATGGCTTCTCCTCACGGATGCCTCACAGGGATTGAGCCGTGTCAGTGGAGAGTCTCCACGGATGCAGCCGAGAGAAAGTCTCTCCCACCTCCAAGAGGAAAAACCAGATTTCCCAAAATCTCAGGAGAAATCCATGCCCACACAGTGGCCTCATTAGCTATAACCCAATTGATAGACTAGATTCCACCCTTCAATCTTAATCCACTCGAGTCCAAATAGACACCAGATTATGTAACTGCCACACATATTTACTTCCTATTTTGATGCACTACATTTATGATATATATCCTATAAACTCTTGGTATATATGTGTATATCTATATCATGTATAGTTGCCAAATATATGTGTGTGTGTGTGTGTGTATGTGTATGTATATGTATATATATATATATCCTCTGTTGTTTTTTTCTCTGGGATCTCTGGGCACTACATGTTATTAGAGGATTTTGATAGACCATGTCATGCTAAAATTATTTTTGGAGTATCTATTAAATAATTTTATAAAATATTAAAGAAAGCATGGTTCCAAGCTTAGAAAGAGTCACCAGGATCAAGGTTACACTTTGGGGTGTCTTGCTAGTGCCAGTGTGTAAGAAAGAATGGCTTGAATACAAAACGTTGTGGGTATGCATTTTGTTGCATCCGGCAATTTTCATACTGAAGAAAAATAGATGCATTTGAATTGCGGTGCTAAAATTATATTGAAAGTGCCATGAACTGGTAAAAGGAAAAACTGAGTCTCTCTCCATTGAAATACAGCCATCGTGCTTTTGAGAGGGAATATGCCAACACTTCAACTTTTATACTTAAGAAATATTGTCAGGAAAGACAAGTCCTTGGGGTAGAACATCATGCTGGGTAATGTAGAGGCACAGTGGAAAATAAGAAGGCCTTAAGGACTTGGAGTGATCCAGTGGCTGCAACAATGAGCTCAAGCATGGGGATAATTGTGAGGATGTCCCAGGACAGGGATGTGTTTATTTCTGTTGTGTGCAGGGTCACTATGTATAGGAATCAACTCAATGGCACCCAGAAATAATGACATTGATTCTAGGTCATGGGACTTAAAAAAGGATGGATATTTAAGGGAGCATTGGTTCACTTTTCTGCTATGAGTCAGCTGGTGGGTTTGAACAATAGACCTTGAGATTAGCAGTCCGAAACCTAAATCAAAACACCACCAGAGTTCCCCTTCAACACTGTATGTATAGATAATTGAATGCACACACACGATGCCTTGGTTCAAAATAGTGTTCAATTGCTAATTGTAAGGTCAGTGGTTCAAATGCATCAACAGAAAGAAGTAGCAATATGCTTCCCTAAAGATACACTGCCTTATAGATTTGATAGGTCCATTCTACGCTGTCCTTAGGTTCACTATTATTGCTAATCCACTTCAAGTCAGTAAGTAGGGAATTTGTACATTTATTTATTTAAAAATGTATATGCACTTTCAGCAATTTTTATCAGAGACAGATCATTTTTATCCATGCATTATCAGTGGGTATGACTCAACTGGAAGCTGAAAGATCAACTTTCACGTTGAGCCCACACATTACTGAAAAAGAAGTTTGGGTTGCTCTAGGCATGTCTCTCAGGAAAGGATACACACTAGGAGCCTCAGGTCCTCTTCACCTATTTGTGCTGTTATCACTATATAATTGTTCTATTATACCTACTTTTAAAACACTTATATTTAATCCAGGGGATAGGGAGACAAAGAGTCACTGATCTTTAACAGTTCTGCAATGCCGATATAAATTGATGCCAGTTCCTGTTTTAGGACTCTATGTGACTCTCTGGGAATTGTTTTCCATGGTCTTTGCCTCTGACTTTAAGGTTAGACATTCTCTACTCTAAAAAAATGAGTAGCCAATTTAGTCAGCTAACATTTTCGACAAAACTGGTTGGTATTCCTGCCAGGAAGAAAGACCAAAACAAAAAGAAACAAAATGCTTGAAAACGTTGTTTTCCATAAGGCTATTGTTATCTACTTCATTAAACAAAAGCCACAAATATCAAAGTGTATAAGCTCTTTCAAAGTTTGCACTCCATATGACCTTGCTATACTACCAAAACCAAAATTAATCTCATTGCCATTAAGTTGATTTGACTCAACTTAACTAACTTTACTCCAGCGGACAGCCTCACCTTTCTCCTATGGCACTGCAGAAGGAATTGAACATCAGACTGTGGTTTACAGAGACACCAAGGCTACACTTCAGGACATTAAATTTTTATAGATGGCTTAACAAACAAAAACTGAAGAGAATCTCCAAGATTCTTACCATTCACAGAAGGCTTTTTATTTAAGTGTTTATGTAAGGTACTGTCTTAAATTGTGCTGAAATCTTCACAAACTTGTACTGGGTCTGTGCCTGGAGTCCTTTCTTAAATTGAGACTTGTTTGCTCAGACAAGCAGGTTTCTTTTTTAATCCATTATTTGTTTTCTGCATGGTATATATTACTTTTTATTTAGCTTATATTTCTAGGGCTATATTGCTTGACATAAATTATTTTTTATTCAAAACCATTTACAGCTTTTTCTCTAAGTATTCATTTCATATAAGTAGCCAGAGGTAGAAAGGAGTGTAAAATGAAAAGCAACATTTCTCTGTGACTTACCTTTGTCCAACAGTCAAGATCTTTCAACATTATATATGCAATCTTATTCATATGAATTTATAATGATTTAACTCTATGTTTGCAGATATTTGCTTTATTTAATACATACAGAAATATGTATTAAAGTATAGAACATAATATTAACATATATTTTTGTACCCTACACCCAACGTTTGGAGAAGTAATCTATGAAGGATTTAAAATAGTAAGGAAAAACATGTAAAACAATCAGTAAAATATTTGACTTTTAGTACAAAAATATTTACCTCATATCTAAGCCTTACATTTTCAAATATATCATGAAAAGCCAATTATCATTTACAATAGTCTATCTAGAAATCTACTTAGCTATGGACATGCTTTTAATAATTACATATAGAATCAACATATCTCATAGCAACGTATTTATAAATATTTCCTAATTTTTAAAACATATTTTAGGTTTGAGTTTCATTGCTCATATTGTTTCATTTTTTGACATTTATTTTATCTTTGCTGTGTAAGTTTAGAATCTACATGTATGTTTCAAATTATTATGCATATATTGAATAATATATCCTCATTCAAATTATTTCCACAATATATAAAAAATACAGATTGTATGGTCAATTAGTGAACAATGCTTCATATACTGGTTAGTAAACTTAGTATTAATGCTCATTTACTGAGGCCTGAGTTTCAGATCAAACACATAAGACTGAAAAGTTTGACCCAAATCAAATATAATTAATTAATTAACCAAATGTAAGATTGATCATATGAAACAATGCAAGGATATTGAAAAGAAATGCAAAGTAATATCACTAAAAATATAGAAAAATTAAAAGAAATTAATATTTTAAAAACTATATATTTTAAAATCATTTTATTAGGGGCTCATACAACTCTTATCACAATTCATACATACATCAATTGTGTAAAGCACATTTGTACATTCATTGCCCTCATCATTCTCAAAACATTTGCTCTCCACCTAAGCCCCTGGCATCAGCTCCTCATTTTTCCCCTCCCTCCCCACTCCCCCTCCCTCACGAACCCTTGATAATTTATAAATTATTATTTTGTCATATCTTGTCTTGTCCACGTTTCCCTTCACCAACTTTTGTGTTGTCCATCCCCCAGGGAGGAGGTCACATGTAGATTCTTGTAATCGGGTCCCCCTTTCCAACCCACCCTGCCTCTACGTTCCCAGTATCGCCACCAAACCACGGGTCCTGAAGTGACCACCCATCCTGGATTCCCTGTGTTTCTGGTTCCTATCTGTACCAGTGTCCATCTTCTGGTCTAGCCAGATTGCAATGTAGAATTGGGATCATGATAGTGGGGGGAGGGGGAGGAAACATATAGGAACTAGAGGAAAGTTGTATATTTCATTGTTGCTACTATGTTTAGGAAATGTAACCTGTATTCAGCTACTGTGCCACAATTTTGAAAAATTATGCTCAATGTTGGCATTGTAACAGTTTTACCAACAACCTCTTCAATGCCCCCTTTACATCTTTATTTCTCACACTGTATATAAAAGGGTTCAAGAGAGGGGTAAAGATGGTATAAACAGCTGAGACCACCTTATCATGGTCCTCTGAACTATAAGACTTTGGCCTCATGTAGATGAACATGATGGTTCCAAAAAAGAGTCCTACAACTGCAAGGTGAGAGGAGCAGGTTGTGAAGGCTTTTTTCCGGGCTGCAGCTGACCGCATTCGAAGCACTGCCACCAGAATTAGGCTGTACGAGGCAAAAATGAGAGACAAAGGGATCAAGAGCATCAAGATGCAGCAGACATACATGAAAGATTCAAAGAGCTTGGTGTCCGCACAGGCAAGGCGTATCAGTGCTGGTGCCTCACAGAAGAAGTGATTGATTTCCCTAGAGTGACAGTAAGGGAAGCTCAAAGTGGTGGCAGCTTGCATTAGCCCGTCAACTGCTCCAAGAAGCCATGAACCTGTTGTCATGAGCAAGCAGAGCTTCTGGCTCATAAGAATAGGGTAGCGCAGTGGATGACATATAGCCACATAGCGGTCATAGGACATGGCTGCTAAGAGGAAGCACTCACCACCTCCCAAAGAGACAAACAGGAATACCTGGGTTCCACAGTCAGTGGGAGAGATGACCCTCGTGTCCATCAGGTAGTTTGCTGCCATTTTGGGAACGACAGTGGAGACCAACATCATGTCCATGAGGGAAAGCTGACTAAGCAAGAAGTACATGGGTGTGTGGAGTTGAGGGTCCACATGGATGAGGATAATCATAAGGGCATTGCCCATCAGTGAGGTGATGAAGATCATCAGCACCATAGCAAAGAGGAACTGGTGCATCTTGGTGTGGTTAAAAAGCCCCAGAAGAATGAAATTTATTCCGCTAGAGTTATTTGCATTTTCCATGTCTCTAACGGTGCTTGGAAACCTAAGAATGGTGAAGAAATTATGAAAATTTGACTCATGAAATAGCAGACTTGGTGGGAAAAGTATTACTTCAATCTTTCCCTAACAAACAAGATTTTTCCAGAGCATTCTACTATCCATCTCTACTGTTACTACACAACTCTTTTTGATTCACATAAAAATAGCATATTAATTGGATAATGTGCATATGTTTTTTTATTGTTAGATGCCATTGAGTTGGTTCCAACTCATAGCGACCTCCTATGCACAGAATTAAGCATTACCCTCTCCTGTGCCATCATCATGTATGTTGTTATGTGCAGCAAAGTGTTAATTTATAACTAGCTTTCAAAATGCTAAAGAACAAAGATCTCACTTTGAGGACTAAGGTGTACCTGGCCCAACCCATGGTGCTTGCTACTGCCTTATAAAGATATGTAAAATTAAACAGTGAATAAGAAGATCAGAGAAGAATTGATGTATTTGAATTATGGTGTTGGCAAAGAACACAGCAAGTACCATAGACCTTCGGAAGAACAAATAATTTTATCTTGGAGGAAGAACATCTAGAATGCTCCTTAGAAGTGCATAGAATGAGACTTGACCTCAATTACTTTGTACATGTTATCAGGAGGGACCAGTATCTAGAGGAAGACATCACATGTTATGAAGTAGAGGGTAAGAGTAAAAGAGGAAGACCGGCAATGTGATGGAGCAACACCGTGGCTGCAACAACATAGTAACAATTGTGAGAATGGCACCGGACCAGGGAATGGATGGTTCTCTTGCACTTTGAGTCCCAATGAGTCAGAACCAACTATAGAGCAGTGAACCAGGACATCATACTTCTTTTCTAATGTATTTCTTTTTGAATTCCATCAAACATCGTTAGCATTTCTACTACATTGTGTGGAAAGACAGATCTCTAGTTCTGTGGCTGCAGTTGAATTAAAGGCCATAAGCTTAGAGTTCAATCAGTTAAGTCCGTTCTGGGTCAAGGCATACTGGACACAGAAAAATGAACTATAGTTAGTTAAACAACCTGATGAGCAGGAGACAGAACTGTAAGGCCATGTACATAATTTCTTCACAATCAAATGTAGTATTTGGGTAAATTCATTACTCCCCTGGAGTCAGTCTACTCGTTTTTGTACTGAAAATTCATTGACTATTTTCTTGGACTACTGTTTTAGAGTCCTGGCTTCCATTGGAACATACTCTATACTTTGTGAATTGATAACCAATTTTTATTGCCCTGTGCTTCAGGTCAGCTTTCCAACATTCCTCTGATCCAAGATTCTAGAAATGTGATTTTAAAAGTCTTCTTTAGATTTACTATTGAAGAAGAAATTATTTTATACTAGCAGCATTTGAACGTAGCATATAAGTCATTTCACTTATTTTTACTTTTTATGGGCAAGTAGTCGAATCTGACATTTTCAAAGGAAATATCATGTAAAATATATGTGTATGCATTTTAAATAAAATGAGAAGGAATTCTGAAATTCAAAGATGCAACAAGATTTCCTTGGTAATGCACATTTAAATATGATAACAATATTTTTCTTTACCTGCATGGACCTAAAAACCTATAATTTAAATGAAATCTTGCTTGAGTTAAATTGGATAAATTTGAGCCATGTGCTTAAAAATTAATCTGATTATTTGCAAAATCAAGCAAATGGTAATATCTTAATTTCATTAAGAAAATGAATTTCTTAATTTCATTAAGAAAAATGAAATTCAATGTATAGAAGAAAGCACTTGAGAGTTCTATAAATGTACTAATTATAATTACATATTATTATCTATTGATTGATATTATAACCAAATATTTAAAAAATAAATTACTATTTATACATATATCTAAAATAAGACATTATTTTCTCTAATCAAAGAGCAACAATTACTTATCAATAATTTTCTTTCTATTCCACATAAACAACATTGGATTTCTTTTTCCTCTGCCCTGTAACTTTTATGAATTTCTTTTGAACATAAAACATGACCATAGTTTATTTAAATTCTTCCAAGGCTATTAGGTTCTTTGATTGCTAAATTTGAAATGTGTCCTTATGTATTTAATAGCCAATGTATATGAAGAATATTTAATATATTTCATGGAATTGTTTATATTAAAATTCCCTTACAATAAAAAAATTAAGTACTATGTGAAAACATGAACATGATGTATGATTCAACAATATCAAAGAAAGAGAAAATGAGGTCAAAAAGACTGCCTAGTCGTTTTTATTTTGTTCTATGCATTGAAAATCAGATAAAAGCATGTTTTCATTTTCTGGTTGTATATAATATGTGATTCTAGAATTATTATTTTAAATACATTATTTCATTTTTATCCTTTCCAGAAATTAGCAAAACTTTTACTTTTCCAGATATTAGCAAAACTTCTCTGTTCCCATATGGACATTACGTTACTCCTTTTCAGACCAATATTTTAGTCTGATCTAGTATGTTTTTCACCATCATTTGCTCAAAATTTTTAAAGTAAAAATCACTCTCATTTCACATCTAAATGATACAGATGAAGGACCTCAGACATAACAATGTTGGTAATGGTAGCAAACAATGTTCAAAGTACTGTTAACTCGATACAGATTGTCTCATCCAATGTCACAGTAACGAAATGCGGAAACTTTGGTACTGTTCCAGATCTTCAGATGAAGGATTAGAAAGCTTAATTAACTTCCCCCCCTCATTTCAAAAGTAGGATGCATGAGGTCAGATGCCTGGCTATGAAAGTAAACTCCACAGTCATTTGGGCTTCACAAAATCATCTTTCAACAATTATCTTAACAATGACAGGACTTACACAGGAAAACAACCTAAAATAAAGAATGGCCTACCCAGCACATTGTTCTCAGATGTTGTTAAATCATCCAAATTAGGGCTACCTCATACACAATGACGGTAAATGCTGCCCAGTCCTCTGCTAACCTCATCTTCAGCAGTTGATCCAAATATTTTGATTCATAGAGCTGATATTAACTGAACTTTTGGAAGTAGGTGGTTATACATTATTTACTTCTCCATTGAATCTGAAAAATTGCTGAAACTGGTTTAGAACCACAGCAACTTGCAAGCCTCCAATGAAGGATTGTGGCTTGCCCTAGATATTGAAGCTGTGAATCAAAACTGGATTTCCCAGGTTGAAAGCAAGAATGCTACCACTTATTCATAAATGCCTTACCTCAAACCTGTAAGCTGTCCTGAATAATCATTTTTACAAAAGTTATAATTACAAAAGAAGACGAAATATCTGTTGTAACCATTTTCAGTGGGCACAATCCCAGACTCTTTCAATACTATCATTGCAAGGTGTAATCATGGAGAAAACATGTATTTTAGTAAATATAAAAGCAAATTAATATATAGTAACATTGATTTGATCAAAGGAAACAGGAATGTCTTCCATGTTTGTAGTTTTAATCGCATTACTCTATCAGAGCTTGCAGAGACTGCACAGTTTGAGCAAGAGGATGTGGAGAAGTCGAGGATGAGCGTATATGAATCAGAAAGAGCAAACTTACAATCTGTATGTGAGCATTTGTAACTGCTGTGAACTTAGGCACCTACTGCTCTTACTCCTTATATTCAGTTTAGTTCATTTAAAATCTTACAGGCCTGTTGTAAGAATGAAATAAGACAGTACCCATAGAAGGCTAAATTAATTAGTGAGAATATGTTTTCAATAAATGACAGCCAGTATGGTTTTTATCTACACACACACACACACACACACACACACACACAGAGTCTCTTTTACAAGAAGAAATTGATAGAAAATGTTAAAGATACTAGTAAATTATCCTTAGAGTTAGAGTATTAACCAAAAGTCAACTCTTCTCAAAATTCCTGTACAGCTAACACCCATAACATATTTTAATTATAAAGAAGCATACCTATGATGGTGCTTTTGATGATGTTATCATTATTATGATAGTCCCAAAGGCAAATAAAGAACAAATTAATGCAGATACAAATAATAAAAGAAACAATAAGAAAACTATTCTTAAAATTAGGTATTCAACTTATATCGGAACCTACTATGATAGAGTCTCTAGAATGAAACCCTGTCCTTTACTATTTGATAAAATGATAGTTTTGCAACATAAATATAAAAGAATGTTTTGTCTCACTGGAAATTTAAAAAAAGATTGTTTAAACCAAGTATTTATAATTTATATATCCTCAAATGTTGATTTAAGCACTTCATTATGGCATGTGTTACCGGTCAAAATGTAATGAAAAGTATTCATAGGGTAAAAGTTATAAGTGCTGTAAAAAGCAATTTGGCAATATGGAGCAAGAGTCATAGAGTTAGTCTTGGTCCTTTGAAGCTTTGCCATAAGCTCTGGATATCGTTCTAAAAAAATATTACCACAAAAAGAAAGGTATATGGGAGCATTAATTAACACAAAAGTATCTTACAAGTTTTTCACAATTGTACAGAAGAATTAGATATATTTATCAGTAGAACTGATATATTTCCCATGGAACACAATATATAATCTGGAATAGTCTTGCACATCATGGCAAGTGATATAAGAAAAACCAATATTTTTCAAGGTGATGAATATGATTGGCATAAAGTAAAAGGAAATAGTCATATGTTATTGAAGTAACTTGGAACTTTAATTTCTGTGATTTTGAAGCAGCATGATTATAATATAGTTCTTAAAATTATATAAAATAAGTAAAAAACACTGAAAGCTCTTGAGTAAATCACCCTGCAAAATATTCCATATCAGATTCAAGATACTAACCTGCTTCTGGTTCCAGTATTGATATTTGAGTGTCAACTAATGCTTGGATTACAGATATAAGACAAAAGGCACCTGGGAAAAGCCTTAGGGAATACTGGGCTTCAGGCTAACAAAAATGCTAATGGGAACCCATTTGAAGAATACTGATGATCAAATACCTTCTCCATTGATTACCTCCACACACAATTCATTTTCATATCTAGGGATATGATT